GAGAGATCACGACGACATAAACACACACCTTACATGCACGCAGCGCACCGCAACGCACGCTTACATGCGAGCGCGCGGCACGCACACAACGCATGACAGGCGGCACACGCTTACATGCACGAGGCGCACGCACACGACGCATAGCATGCACGACGTACGCAGCACCCGCAAGGTACGCGCGCACGCACGCGACGCACGCACAGCAACACGGGCACACCGCACACGCACACACAACACATCCACGCACACACACATACGTGCGCGCACGCACGCACATACCATAGCTACACACCGACACATAATACTATCAGCAAATTTTGGCTCCAGGTCCTACAATAAGCTTTGTAATCCCTCTTTGATTTGCACGAGGTGAAAACTGGTCCCTGCATCCCAGCGCAGCCCGCGTGTGAATGGAATATTAATAATCACGTACGCGTAACGTTCGCAACAGCACGCTGCTCAGACGTGATTGTAAGCACAGTCATGATTCACGCTACGTGACGTCGTGTGGATACAGCGTGCGTGCGTGCATGTATGCGTGTGTGTTCATGCGTGTGTGCGTGCGCGCGTGCATGTATGCGTGTGTGTTCATGCGTGTGTAAACACGCAGACCTACACATGTTTAGAGCATTAACAGTTTAATGTTTAACCTTTAATGTTTAGTACATTAAATCTTCGCGGACTCGTCTCTCGCGGGTTTTGATCTCTCAGTGATTCTCGGGTTTCATGAACACAGTGCGCGGCTGGCTGGCTGGTTGGCTGGCTGGCTGGCTGGCTGGCTGGTGACGGAATGAACACACGGTCCTTTCTCTTCCTTCCTCGCGGCTATTCACACAGTGTCTGATACCAGCAAACTACTGTTCCTAAACTTCCCCGCATCTCACATGAACACGCAGCATCCCGGCTTCCATGGCTACGTGGAGCTGTGAGGATTCAGAATCCCGATTACCATTGCTACTTGAGGTCGTGAGGATGTGCCATCTTGGTTGGCATGACTACTTCTGGCAGTGAGGGCGCAGCACTTTGGTTACCGTAGCTACCTGGAGCTATGAGGATGTAGAATTCTCGTTGCCATGGCTACGCGAAGCCGTGATGGTGTCGTATTTTGGTTACCATGGCTAACCCGAGCTGTGAGGATGTATAAGCCTCGTTGCCATAGCTACGCGAAACGGTGAGGGTGTCGTAGTTTGGTTGTCGGCCCCATGACTACGTGTAGCTGCGAGCACGCGGCGCTCTGGGCTGTCATTGCTACGTGGGGGCTAGTGTGCTGACATCTGCTTGCCAGATGACCTCTATATAAACGGGCAGGAATTTCACCGAGGGCTTCATCATCCCGCCACGATTTCTGCCGCGTCGGCAGTTACGCCCCGATAGACTGACACCGCGATCGCGGTTTTCATTATCGCGCACGTCGTCCCCCTGCGAATGTCGTCAGTCAACGGACCGCGCCAGATCGCGGCTCGTGCACATCTGTGTAAACTTATAAAATCTGCGCGCAGACCTCGTGGTAATTATATTCCATCAGAAGCCCGCAGAGAAAGAGAGACCATGAGAGAGACCCTGGCTGTGTGCTGGTATGTAAACACAGTCCCCCTCCTCCCCACGCCCTACACTCAGTGATGGTCACGTTATATAGTATACGCTGTGCAGGCAGCAGGGAGCCGAGAAAAAAATGCGATGTAGATCGCTGAAAGATGCTAGTACATCGTGTGACGTAATGTAGTAGTAGCGTGCACTGACGCTGTGTGAGGTGTGAGTGGACGGGTGAAACGAAAGACCCTAACATCATATGGAAACGAGAGAGAGAGA